CAATCCAAACCATTCTATGATACTGTGATTCTGTGGCTTATAGCTTCTACATTTGTCCAGTTGGTCTTTGGTGTTTCAAATACAGCTTTCATATGTGGATGAATTCCTCAGTTATAAATAATTATCTTGGTTGCAGTATTGAGAGACCATGATGACTTACATGTTACAGCTTTTTTTCAGGAAAAGAATTCTTTGTTCTTTAGGCAACACACTGCTGTGAGGTTTGGCTCACCAACAGATGCTCTTGCAGTGTGAGAGCACTCACTCAGCCTCAGCCATGGTGCAGGCAATCTTTGTCATCTAGTGCAGGTAACCTAACCCACACAGAAGTGATGACCCATATTAGGAGGAAGTTGTCTGCAATTCACTTGTATCCCTTAGCTTTCACCATCAAAACAGGCTTGTGACTCCTTTGTCAAGCAGAGCATAATTAGATACCTGTCTTCTCTTTGAAAATGATTTACTATTTTGAAGTGTACTGTGGATCATTGGGTGTAGAAAGCCAGGGAGATGAGCACTGTCTTGCAATGTAGAGACAGTCCTCTTACTTTCTCACTTCCTTCATGGAATTGGCATGTGGTAACTTGTGAATCTTAACACACTACATGGAGATCATGAGGATTTCCCTGGTCATTCATTTTTAATTTCCTAAAGAAAAGAGTGATGTTCCCCTTATTTTGATCTAAAGTGGCTGAAGATGCTCTTTGGGGTGACAGCTCTGGTCTTTGTGATTCTAGCTTGTGTACTGGTTGCGTAATTACAGCTCCCAAATGCCTGCTTCCCTATAACAATTCATCCAGATGACACAGGAGATAGTTCACTGAGGCATCTTCCTTTGCTTACACTGTGCCACTTCAGTCTATTTGTAGTAAGTACCAAGATCATCTGCATAATGTGTGAGGGTGGCAGCAGCTCACATCTGGGTGCAAAATATCTGGAGATACCTCTCCTTAAATACTTTCCAGACCATAATCAGTAAGTAAGAGACTTAGTTCAGTGGACATGATCTCTCTCTGCCTCTCCTCTAAGGTTTAAAAATAAATTACTTAGGAACACTTGAGGGGCAACAATAGTAGACCAAGAAGAATAAAAATGAGAGGTGGATCTTCAGTTAGAAAAGTTTCTTTTTTTTTTCCTTCTGAGGTTTCTTAAGCAGATCTGGTCAGGATTCCTCAGAATGACCCTACACCTATGCTGTCCTGAAACTGCATGTTAGTTAATGGCCACCAGCAATTATGTCTTTGATATTATGAACATTACAAATGAAAACAAAACCTAATGTAGATATAAGGGAATATCACTTGAGTGATAACCCTGCTTCTTCCTTCAATGCTGTTACAAAAAAAAAAAAGACATTTTCTTTGTAATTCTTTTACCTGTGAGCCTTACTAAAACTTTATTGCTTTAAGTCAGCAGAAGGAAAAATACCAGTGTTTTTGAGTTTAGATAATACAAACATAAGAAGTAGAGAAAAAATTGTAAAAGCAGTGAAGTTTTTTTCTATTAGTTATTTGCAAACATCTTTTTAAAAAAATTGCCCTGTGTAATAAGTTTTAGCTTATTTGTATTGGTTTACTTTTCCTAACTTTTGCAGAAGCTCTCAGAACAGCCTGGTTGCCCTGGGAAACTCTCAGCTGGTTTGCATCACGAAAGTGGATTCTATGAAAAATCAAGAGAGCTCCCTCCTGCCCTTTAATCCCTCATACCTCTTCCTTGGCAAAAGGTGGAGCATGTTGTGCTGGATCAGAGCCAGCTGATCAGCCAGTGCACACGTGCTGCAGAGTTGGTCACAGACCCAGCTGTATCCAGATCTGCAGTGTCAGCACTGACCTCACTTCTCCTTCTCTGCTCAGTCCCAGGTTTTTGTAAACATCTGGGACTTCATCTCTTTGAGGGGTTCAATTTAGGTCAGTCAGTGGGCCCAGCTGTGCTGTGAGTGGATTAAGGGACACAGTAGCAAGAAAACCTTGATTTTTTGAGAAACCAAACTGAAAGATATCCAAGGGACTTTCACCAGGAGTAATAGCCCTTTTCATTTTCCTGTGTGGTAGTCATAACCGATTAATGTGATAGGCAACAGTAGTTGGTATAGGTAGGTAACAATCACAAAAGTAAGCTTTGGGTTATGTTTCCTGCAATCATTTTATTAGGTAAATACAAAATTAAAATAGAAGCGTTCCAAGGGGGGGAGTAAAAAAAAGGCAGTAAATCGTGTGTCTTGATCGTAAGGGCACCTTGCTTGTGATTAAAAGCTTGGATTAAGTCCCTGATTGAAGCTAGCCTTGTTCTAAAACATGCAGGGAGGATTGCAAAAGTGAGCTCCAGGAGTTGCTTGAATGAAGAAGACACTGTCTTGCAGGAAAAAAGCATTTGAGTAGTTATTTTCTGTGTCTTGGAACTGATCTTAGCTGTAAATTAAGGCTAACTTCACGAGGTGTACCAAACCAGTAAGAACTGTGAGATTGTAGCAATGTAACAGCATAAACTTCCTGAAGTATTTTAGGAGGAAGAAAGATTTGGACTGCTGGTAGTTTTACAGAATATGTGCAGCTGCATATTAAAGAGGTTCTTTCTGCCTCATGCAGAAGAGTGGAATAGCTTTGCTAATTTGAGGAGGGTTGAAAGGTAATGGATTGGAATTATTATTTTCTTTTTAAAAATGAATAGTAAGTTTGGAAACAGTTCCTAAATAAGGAGTGAAAAATAATGCCAAATAAAATAATCTAAATTAACTTTTTCTTAAATCTGGTCAGTGCATGTTTTGATGAAACGATTTCATAAAATTTGGTGAATAATACCTGCAAAGATGGGTGGTAGAAAAGAAGATACTTAAACAAATTGGTTTCAAGTTTTATACCCTGTGTTTCTGAACTATAGAGGAGATTAAATTATGTTAAACTTAAATCTTCACAAAGTATCTATTTCTGCGGTTGACATTGCATTTAAATTAAAATCAATATTTTAGGTTGACATTGTAAGTGCTATAAACTACATAAAGCTTGAGGAAACCTTGATACTAAATAAATATAAGTGTTGACTTGCTTCTCTTTACCTGTCTTTAGAATTTGGGATTTGCTACATACTTTCTGCAGAAGACATTCAGCTGAGTTAAGTGAGCGTATTTCATGAGGAAACTTAAAATACACTTGCCTCTGAGCTTATAAAGCAAAAACACATATTTTGCTTTAGAGAATCAGTGGAGTCTCACTGTGAAGAAGCCATTGTCAAAGCTCTGGTGATACAACAGCTGAGGGGAAGAAATGGAGACAGTGTGACCATTATTCATTAGCCCTCAGAAGTCTCCACCTAGGCAGCATTTTTCTTTTCAATTTGCAAAGCCCATATTTTTAGCAGCTCTTAAGAAAACCACCTTCCTGGTGTTGCCAGCTCTGGAGTATCAAGTAAAATGCAAAGATTTTTGTCTTTACAGTATAAGAATAGCAAAAAACAAGTTCACCGTATTCCTTACGGTACAATCTATCAGTAGAAACCCCAGAGCTGTATACAAGTGTTGTTTAACAAACTTAACCACCTCTTTTCAGTGAAACTTGAAATAAAGTAAATGGTTAATTAGATAGCCTTGTTTCTTTTTACCAGTCCCACAAAAGTGCTTTGAAACTTTTGTGGAAACATTGGTTGAATGGCAAACTTTGGTAAACTTGACTTGAAGTAATTCCACAGTAAAGTGAAGTTAGAATAACAGTCATTGCATTCCTATGCCCTGTCTTCTGTATGAAATGGGCTGTAGATCCCAGTGGGTTTGAAGCATATAAAATACAGACTTTAAGTTGTTTATATTTGTGAGGCTTATACACTTGGTGTGTCAGCAACTAGCTTGAAATGTGCAGGGAACAGCATCACTTGGAAGAAGCTTATTGGCATAATTTAAAAAAAAGGGCAGAGGAGAAAGAAAGAAGTGGGATCTTTGACATGTAATAAGGACTGCCCATCCTTTCTCAGGATCAAAAAATGGTTAGAAGCTGTATTAATAAGTTTCCACATAAACTTCCACTTGTCTGTCTTCCTAAATACTATCTACAATGTATTGCTGAATCACTTAGGCATCTGCTCAGAGAAAGAAACAAGGCAGTTGGAAAATTGTGTAGATCGTGACTTTGGCAGAAAGGGATGCTGCTGTGAGGAATAAGAACTTTGCTGAGGGGACACAGACTGTGGGCAGAAGAAACCTAAATATAGGAGTATGGAGAACCCATGTCAGGAGGGAGAAGTGGGTGCTGTGACTCAGGGCAGGGGGAAGATGGAGTTGTGAATGTGTTCTGGACTGTGCAGGGAGAAGCAAGGGGAGTCAGAGCAGCTGTGTCTGTTCTGGAAGAGGGTATTTTTGGGTGGATGCTTTTTACACCCTTTACCTTCACACAGTTGTGCTTTATCTGTAGCCCTGCATGGTAACTGGCCATCTAATCACATTAATGTTTTCTATATTAAATACATTGTAATACAGATATAGTCATTTGGTTCTCAAGTTGTATGAATTTGCAACATTAAAAAAATATGGTTGCTTGATGAATACATTATTCTTTCAAAAATGCTAAGTTTTCCAAAACTAAGACCTCCTTTATTTTTTTGTTCTGATTTCCAGCATATTTGCCATAGTCTGGTGATGCACAATAACAGATGCATCACTCTGTCTGTATAGATGGTGCAGAAGTCAAGAAACAGGGGGTATGACTGCCACAAGATGCAATCCAGCATCTTCCTTTTTCTAAGCATGTTTGTGAGCCTTGTTGTACCAGAACTATGTCCGTGTACTCTGTGCTCACATCCTCACTAAATAGAAACAGTACTTAGCATACACTAAATAAAATTGCCCCCTTGAATAGCTATTTCACCTGATACACAAGGTATTGTCTCAGTGATGGATACATGAGAGTGCAGTGTTACCAGGTAGCTGCTCCTGGCTTTTCTGGTAGCCTTAATGGGTATAAATTCTGCTGGGCTGCTTTGACACAACTGGAAAAACCCTGCTGAATCGAGGTGTGCTGACCTCAGTCTTTTAGTGTTCATGTGAACATCTCTGGTTGCTAACAGCATCAAAGATGCCTGGGCTCTAACCAGATCTTTTTTTTTTTTATTTTTGTTTTTATAATCAGAATCTCACATCTGCTAAACTCTCCCAGCTAACCCCTTCCTCATCACCTGATACAACGAATGCAGCTAGAACAAGTGAGTAAGTACTACTGACTGTCACCAGCTGTACACAGGAGGAATAAGTTGTAGGTGCCTTGCATGGGAAACTAGCTTCCCTGGCTTTCAGAGTTGTGAATTTTCACTAACTTGGAGGACCTGAGGTACCTACTGGATTAATCTTACCATGTATAAATGAAAACAAATTTCTTAGGGAATGGAGCTAATTAAGGTAATTTGTAAGAGAGCACAAGAAAGTGCTGAAGTTGCACCACTGCTTTCTCCCACAGTAAAAGACTGTTAACTCAGTCAGGTGTTTTCATAATTTATGCAGAGGATGGTGGGTGAGCATAGAGAAAGCAAAGTCTGTGGAGGCATGTAAATAGAAAGTGATGTGCTTCCACTGATGGGCTAGGGAGGGCTGAGGTGACTATGTAGGCTGTATGTAAAATCCAGTGGGGCAGTATAATGCTGTAACTGAGCTGATTGGGTCCAGTTTTGTGATGGTGTGAACACTGTTGTGTAGGTGGAATTGAATTAGGTTCCTGAAAACTTCAGGCACTTTGAGTTCCCCAGTCTGGATCTATTTGCAGGATATTGCCTATTTGCTTTACTTTATGATTTGCTAACATTTCCCATATCTTCACAGGAGTAGAGAAAGTACTTAAAGAAGTATTAGAGTGGTAAACAGCATCAGCCCTAATGTTTCTCCTCCTGTTAATCTTTACTGAATGAGAGCACTACATCCAACTGACTTTTAGAGTGTAAAGACTTGAAAGCAGTATCTGAATGCAGTTCTAGTACAATACAGATTATTGACACACACATACACACAGCGTATGCACAGAGCACTTTGTGAAGTGTATATGCTTCAGTGCTTTGGGAGCTTTGGGGCTTTCTGGTTTGTAAGGAGATTATTTCTGGGGGTTTTTTTGATGTCAGTAATGGTAGGCTCAGTTTACATTAAGAACTGCTTGGTGTTGAAAGTTATATTAAAAACCACCCCCACTTCCTTACAGTACAAACAAACAAAAATACACCCTAAAGATATGAAGCCTGTTAAAACGAGCCGATGAGCTTTCCAGGAGGAGCCAGGGAGAGGTGAAGCCACAAGGAGGCTGAGGGCCCATGGGAAGAGTTTCAAGAACAGGTTGGTTGGTGAGAGAATGAGCAGAATGGTGAAACTGAATACGGAGCTCAGCTATATCAAAAAACAGATTTTTTTTTTTCCTCTTGTCATCTACAGTACACTTCATGTTACTTTCTAGAATTCATTTCTCTGGTAGATATGTATTCATTTGTCATTTACTCAGTCTCATCTTTTGTTTATTTTTATAGTGTTTTATTTGTCTAAATACAGGCTACTGATGTGTTCAAGCTGACGACAAGTTAGGTGCAACTTATTAAACTGTTATGTGTAACTTTATTTCATAACTTTATTTTTAACTGAATTTTATATATCCGAGAACGTAGGGTGTCAATTTTGGCCATTTTAAGTTGTACAGTAATTCAATATCAAGTAAGTTTTCAAATTTGCTACATTAATAGCACTCTAAATTTGTAGTTAATAAAATGTCCTCGTTGTAACTTGTATTTTGCTTAGCATTTATGCTTTATTTAGAACTGGGAATTGAAAGCATTTTCAGTTAGAAAGGGCTGATGAGAGTTCAGCTGTTCTTCTTCCCATTCAAAAAACAATCATATACTCTAATTTTCCTTCTTGTTTCCTTAAAGTGGTTTGGATTACAATTCGTTTTATATTTAAAGTAATTGAGGAAATGGAAACCAGTTCATCATGAACAGGTTTCACAAAGCACCCAGATAGGTAACATGCTTCATTTGTAATGCTCATGAAATCAGCTGCTCTAAGTCAGGGTGATGGACTTTTGTGTACGTTGTAGGACAGCCCTGTTCTTGTGGGGAAAGGCAAGGTGATGTTACAAATGTCATGTGCTAAGAATTCAGAAGAGTGCAGGAGTTGTTAATTCCTTTCATGATTTTCCTCAGGCTCTCTTCTCCAGAACCATGCCAGAGATGACAGAGAATGAGACACCTACTAAGAAGCAACATCGGTGAGTTTCTGGGGGAAAATGACTGTTTTGTAGTTTGGTAGTCTGAGATCATGATGCACTTATGAAGTTTCCAGCTGAAAGTTTGGCAGTAAGGGTATTGACAAGAAGTTCTGAAGGTTGACTAGGGTTGATCCAAAAGTTTGGCAATTATGGCTGCAAAACTCCCTTTCTCTCTTGCCCTGTGTATGCCAAACTATTTGCAGAAGACTTGTCTACCTGGGTCACCTGAAAAAAGAGATTCTCTGATTACTACACTGACTACTCTGTTGTGTCGCCGCCCTGGTTGGAGTGCAGCCTGTGTTATTGCAGAGGCTCCTGGTAGATATTAGGGGGTAACTATACTCACTTTGACAGAGTAACTTAGATCTCTTCCTCAGCTCCCAGTGGAATCTGGATCTTACACTCAAACCTCTGCTGGAACTCAAAATACATCTTGAGGTTGTACAGCAACTCTATGACCAAAATTGGTAACAAAGTAACTTGGCACTTATTACAACTTTTCCTGGCTTTCATTCCTTTTAGTAGCATGTTGATCTAATTAATACCTGATTGGTAGGGAAGTGCTTCAGTCCACAGTTAAATGCAACGTTCATCTTATGCTAGGTGACCATGTAGAGTATGATTTATGATTAGGAAAAGCTCAGAGAGAACACTGATTCGTCCTACAGAAAGTTTTTTGGTCTTTATGGATTTTGTCACTCTTTCTTACCCCACTAATAGAGCATTTTGTATTCTGTATTGGTAATGTGAATCAAAGGGCAGCTGGGTCTCTTCAATCCTTATATTCTTGTGCATATTTAGTATATATGATCATCTTAGTGGATGTCTCCAGGTCTGACCATCTGCAGTAACACTACTGTCCTGTAATCATTGTCTAAATTACTCTGGATGCCCTCTACTTTTGGTGAGTTACTTGAAATAAAAAGGATACGTGCCTCATAGTAATCACACATCATCCACATGTATCTTGCATTCTCACTTCAGATTCCTTGTTATATCTGGACTGTGCTGTGACAGTCAAAAAGGAGAACAGAAGATGCATCTCTGCTTTTGGCACACATCTAGACTGAGAGTGTGCTGCCGGACAGAAATCTTCTAGAAGATTTTCTTTTTCTGGAATGTTTCTTTTTCCAGAAAATAGGTGCTTTGCTTAACTACACTTCCTGAAAGTATTTATCTTATTTAATGTATACAGTACTTCTGATTTATATAAGTAGGATACCCATTTGGGATTTTTTGACTTCCAGCAAAGCAATTTGAAGCATTACACAGTGATTGTGACCTTCAGGTCGACATCTGAAACCAAAGACAACCCTCACATGCCCAAATTATACCTAGACAGAATTTTGAGACAGTAAAGAACAGCTGCTGAGGAACAGTATTTCTGGTTTCTCTGACAAAGGAAGCATTTTTGATACCAGAAGGTATGATGTTTGAAGATAATAGGGCTAGAAACATGAATTTGCATGGTAACATTTTCTTTCTGTTTTCTGTAATGTAAAAACATTGATCCAGTGAACGTAGAAGCAACATTTCAAACACTTAACTACCTTGTTCCTCAGAAACAGAACTAAGTTTTTTAATATTTGGCTTTATTGAACACTGCCTAGTATAGCAGTTGTTGCTGAACAGAAACATAAAAACCCAACTTTGCCTATAAATATGTACTAATAATTAAATGGAACATTATGCTGTGCCTTGTTATACTGAAATTGATTTAAGTCTGAACATGAACGAATTTTTGTTAAAAATTATTTAATATCAGTGTCTAAGAACATCATTTTGACTTCTGCTATTTTCTTGTTCACAGAGCAGACTATAATATTTAGTATTTTTGGCTGTAATGGAGATAGTAAATATTTGTTTATATGCAGCTTTTTTCCCTTCTGTTTCACATCATTGTTTTCCCTTTATATTTCACAGAAAGAAAAACCGGGAGACACATAATGCAGGTAGAAACATTATACTTTGTTATTTGGTCTGGGAATAAGCACAGATGTTTTGAACTAGTAAAAGGTGTTTTCCATGGAGAAGGTTCCTCCACAGGAGGAACTACACTTAAAAAAACACCCTGTCAAACACCTTTCAGGGTCTTTGGGTAGAATATCTGTGCAGAAGGGCTTCTTGGTTGTTTCTAGTTGGCTGTTTTCCATAGTAAAAGGTTAAAGGTAGGACCATGCCTCTGGCGTTCCAATGCTAGTAAATTAAGAAGTAAACAATTTCAGTTGTGTTCAATTCTAAAGGAAAATAAATGCATTGGCATTGACAGCCAACTAATATCCACCTCTCTCAAAACAGAGACTTATCTGACCTGAGAGTTTTGCAGGTTCCCTGGATTAGAAGTATTCCTGTAGCCTGTCACTAAGGCACCCACCTGGATGCTGACATCCCAGAAAATTTGTGCAAATGGGGGCTGTCTCTGTTGCAGGAGTCACATCCCTCAGGCAGCAACTCGTCAGTGCTTAGCTACAACGGCATCTTTTACAAGTATGAACAGAAAGAGGGATTGGGGAGGACTCTGACAGATTTGGGCCTGGTTTATCCTAAGAAACTGATCACAGTTCTTTCACTAAACAGCATTATTGTGTGTTCTTCACAAACTCAACTGGAAAAAACACTGAGTAGTTTCCATGTAAAGGCTGTGGAATATAGTGCTTGTCAGGTTGTGCTCAGGGTGTGGCCAATTTCTTAAGAATTAAGAAGTATCACTAAATAGTTTTATCAAGTTTACTTCTGAGTTTACTGGCCTCATTCTAATTCTCAGTTCCTGATTTACTTGCCTATAGCTTTCCAAAATCTTTATTTACTGGGCTGAACTCTGCAAGATGTGGGGACCAGTTCCCTCCAGCCATATAGCTTGCTTAGTCATTAATGTCTGGACAAGCTGAGTAGAGTATGGCAAATATCAAAACAGAAGATTAGCACTTCACAACCACTGTGATGTCTGTATGTATTACTAAGACATATAATAACTAGGTCCCAGGTATCATATGTTCAAATGTTTATACAGCTGCTGTAATTTATACAGTAGATTTCTTGCATAAGAGGCTTTGTCTTGCTGTGTTTAGTGTATTTAGGCCTGTGTCTCTCAACACCATCAGTCTGTCCTGAAATACAAAAAAAATAATTTAATTGTTTGAGAAATGTAAACTGAAGTGACAGACTACTGGAATAAAACTGTTTAAATTAAGTTAATATGTCCTTTGTAAAGGACCTGCAGGTCACTGTGTGACAGTGACAGGTTTCTGTGTTCCACCAAGAGTAGCCCAACTGCTTGAACCACAAGGTTTGTTCAGCACAATGAACATTGGTTTGAATCTTGACAAAGCCATAACAGAACCTTTTTTCTGGCTTTCTTGAGAAGAGACATCTAATAGTTTTAGTTCATGTAGAACATGAAAACATTTCAGTCCAAAAAAAAATCTACTTGACAGTGAACTATATTTGGAAGAGGCTGACTATGGCGGATAGAAAACAAAGATTAATACTACCTGAAAAAAACATACCCAAAGGTATCTACACTCCTAGACTTATAGTGTAGACACTTTATGGCACTGTTCAGGCCTTGTGAAGAGGTAAATGACTATAAATGAAGCATTTTCTGGCCTTCTCCAAACTAGGTAGAGTAACTGGTAGTCCATATACGTAGAGCTTCAGCTATGATTAATGTTGGCTTCTCCATCAATATAAATTTAAAATTAAGACTGAAGACTAATAAAATCCAAGTTATTTCTCCTTTTATGCTAAACTCAACTTCAGTATTTAAGAGATATGGGTTTTCTTCCCAAACCTGAAACTAATTCTTTCCATAATCTTGGTTCACATGCTTTCTGCATGCCTAAATTTAATCAATCTGACTTGTGAAAAAAGTGGCAGGAAACTCAGTTAGAAAGCAGTACCAAAACCTGAATTTTGAGTTGCAGTAACTCTTCTTTTCCATGAAGGGGTCCAGAATGTTCCCACCTTTTAAAGATATTGCTGCTTATGTTATAGTTCTCAATTCCACTGAGCATTAATTAACTGAGGCTTACTTTAGTGGAATTTTTTTCCTCTCAAGTTACTACAGGTTTCAATGTGCAATGCAAAAATGTATTTATGAGCCCTTAACATTGTACTAGTTGTGCTGCTGTTGTGCTGACTTGCCCAACCAGATGACACAGTACATATTATGTTTGGTTAGTGGAGAGACATCGAAAGAAGAAGATTAATGCTGGGATAAACAGAATTGGAGAACTCATTCCCTGCTCTCCAGCACTTAAGCAGGTGAGTGTCCACCCAGAGGTGCATACAGGCTTTCCTGTAAAATGCTCAAGTGTTTCTTTGTCTGTAGAATTATAAATACATATTGTGCCATTTGTCTTATGAAGAAGGTAAAGCTGTCTGAATTAATATTCTCAAAAAACTCACTAGCTATATTAAAAAAACTATTTGTAATAGAATTCCTTTTTGCAAGTGCACGGCCGTGTTAATGTAATTACACAGATTTTCAGTGTTTTATCTGGCAGTGTTGTATATGACTGCTGAAGGAACGAAACAGTATGAGATGGACGTGTGACTGGATGTGTTTCTCCTCAACTCATAAATGCAGTATTTCCTCTGTAGAAGGGGTGACAGGCTGGGCAGAAGTGGGTTAGATCAGGTCAGTGGGTTGCTGGTTACATTGTGCAACTCCTGTTTGGGAAGCCAGTTTCCACTGATGCTGCTGAATGTAGTCTGTGTGATGACTGAGTGGTGAAAGCTATGGATCAAGCAAGATCTCTTTTCAGGTCATTCTCCAATCCCTGCTCAGCCCTTTGCAGGTGATCACTTTAATGTCATAAGATGTCAATAGAATTCCATGCATGCTTATTTTTGTCATCTTTGATATAATGGGATGAAAGCAATTCAGAAACTGAAATAATAGTAGTAATTTAAGACACTGTCCTTGTGAAAGATGAAGCAAGAAAAATGGTTTGAGGTTGATGCACAGAAGCATCTTTTTCAAAGACAAAGCTATCTCCAGCAGAGACTGTTCCTACTGAACAGTAGAAGAAATTAAGGAGTGAACAAAGGCCTTGCAGGCAGAATAAGCATAGTTTCATAAAAAGATGATGGTGGAGGGGTTATTTTCTCTTCCCATATTTTCCAGTATATTACTTTCAATATTATGCATATATCTCCCTGGGTAGTTGTTCCATGTTTGTTTCTTTCCTAATAAAATATTTACAAGAGAGTATCCTGGAAATTTCATGTGATATATGCATTTATTAGTGAACACAAATTTTAGGCTGATCTGCAAGAAGTGATTGCTGGCTGTTCAGGTTCTGTGGCCATAGTATCTACCTTTGGGCATCAGAAAATGTCAGCTCCAGCACTGAAAATGTTATTCTGTAAAAACTCACAGCATTTTAGGGTCAGTGTCACTCATGAAACCTGTAGTTCATCTTAAAAAAAAAAAAAAAAAGAAAAAAAACCAACAAAACAAGACCAAAAAAAAACCCCAAACCAAAACAAAAACAAACAAAAAAGCCCCAAAACAAAACAAACCCTACCCAGCCATAAAGAGTCATTCAAGGTAGCACATTTTTAAAGTAAAGACCTCTTGGAGCAAATGCTGTCTCATCATTATTGAATCTACCAATTCTAGACCTTTCTCCTAATTTTATACGTATGTTTTCTTTTAAAGAGCAAGAACATGATCCTGGATCAGGCCTTTAAGTACATAACAGAAATGAAAAGACAGAATGATGAGCTGCTATTAAATGGAGGGAACAATGAACAGGGTAAGTACAGATGCTGCTGGAGTCTCTAGAACTTCTGTCACTCACTTCCACTGTGTCTCTGTACTGACTAACAAAGCCTGGATCAACAAACGGGAATCCCAAGACATTTTGCACATACAGGAAAAATAACAGCTGCTTAGAATATCTTGAAACAAGGTGATGTGACATCATCTAGTAACTCCTGTCCCAGTTTATGCTACCGTAGTGACCAGAATGATTTCTGACAAACTTTGTTAGATTTTTTTCATCCAAAACATGGACTTTCCTCTGTTCATAGAGCTTTTTTGTTTTCTTTCAAAAACTGTAGAAGTTGTAGTGACCCATTTCCTAAAAATACAATGCATCATATAAAATCTTCTTGAACAGATATGTAAAAGTACAGTGATGAAGGTATGACAGAAATAATCTCAAAGCTAATGTTGTGGTTTGTGATTTTTTATTTTCTACCCATAGAATGGAATTCTAAATAGTTTATTTTTGTCTTTTTAATATAATTAGATTTGGAAAACCTAGGTGGTTTTCCTAGTTAGGTGAGCCTTCTCCCAAGTGTGTTGCCAGTTTTTATGGATTTACACAAGTGCCTTGTATTAGATTTTGCTTATAATTTTTAGATGTAACGGAACTTAATTCTCCTGGAAAGCCATGAGATTACCAATTAAATAAAAACAGTGTTTGTCTTTGCAAAAGAGTAGGGAAAAGAAAAATATTAATGTGCTTGTCTTTCCTTCAGCAATTAAATAATTTTGTTTAGTGTTCAGTTTCATCTGAGTTAGTCCTGACGTTTTTTCTAAGTAAGTAATGTGACATACCCTGCTATTGGTAATGGAATAATCTGTGAAGTTCATTCACTTTCCCACTTAGTAGAGAGGCTTATCAGGATAAGAGTCTTCACTTAAATTATGTTAACCATCTGAAGAGAGCATACATTATTAACAACTTATTCAATTTATTTCAACGATTTATTTCATTACTACACAGTATTTACTCTCTAAGTCATGTGGTAACATTATTTCATTATTTGTTCTGCTGCTGATGTAATGGAGTGCTCTCACTGTTTTGTAGCTGAAGAGATAAAAAAACTCCGGAAACAGTTGGATGAACTGCAAAAGGAAAATGGGAGATACATCGAACTACTGAAAGCAAATGATATTTGCCTGTATGATGACCCTACAATCCACTGGAAAGGAAATCTCAAAAATGCAAAGGTCTCAGTTGTTATTCCCAGTGATCAGGTTCAAAAGAACATCATTGTCTATTCTAATGGGAGTCAACCCAATGGAAATAACCAAGGAGCACCTGTCCAGGGAATAACGTTTAATGTTGGTCATAATTTACAAAAGCAAACAGCCAATGTTGTGCCAGTTCAGAGAACTTGCAACATAGTGACTCCTGTGACGATTGCTGGTATTTATCCCACAGAAAATAAGCCATGGTCTCAGCCTACAGTTTCTCCGCTGGCATCTGCTCAGACAGCTCCAGCAGGGCACATTCTTGAGCTTTCCACTCCGGAGAGTGAGCAAGGTGTGCTCACCAGTGCTGCTGCGAGCTCACAGAGTGCATCTCAGTCTGGGACAGAACAGGAATTACAGTGTTCTTCAAGTAATGCACCACAGAATGATCAAAATCTCCCCAAAAGTAAAAATAATGAGGAGGTCACCAAACCAACAAAGAAAACGCTCCTGCAGGGAATCAGCCTTCCTTCCAGTGCCTCTGTGGAAGCTTCCCAAGTTCAACGGGTGAATGCAACTTGCTCAGATACAAACAATTCCAGTGACCTCCAGGAAAGCTGTGTCATTTCAGCCACAGACACAGCTTGTGTGCCACCTGTGAGACTGTCTACTGCAGATAGCTTTTCCTCTGTAAATGTCCTCAAAAGCACGGACGTAGTGAGCAGTGCTGGAGTGCCTGCGACTTCTGCAGCAGAAGGAGTTAATAAGGCTGTGACGGCAATAAGCACTCTGGCTGCCAGTCCCTTAGAGAACTGCTGGTCTTTTTCAGGCTCTTCAGGTGTTGGCACTTCAGACTTGAAAAATATGAGTAGCCTTACACGGATGCCTTCAACTGGAAACACGCAGACCACGTGGACCACTTTGCAGCTGGCGGGAAATACTGTCCAGCCACTAAGCCAAACGCCATCTGGTATAATGACTGCACTACTAAACGAGCCAGCTAATGGTGCTGGTACTGTGTCTTCTGCTCAGAGCAGGCCTTTGACTACCAGTATCAGTTTGAATGCTTCTCTGCCTGGGGATGGCCAGGCAGCTGAACAGATTGTAGTTACCTTGCCCTCATGCCCACCCTTACCTATGCAGCCTTTAATCAGCCAGCCACAGGTTAAAACTCAGGCTGCAGGAAATATCCTTCCATTAAATTCAGCTATGCAGGTGATTCAGATGGCTCAGCCAGTCGCGTCAGCTGTTACAGGAGCACCAGCTAACCAGAATGTCATCATCCTCCAGCCTCCAAACCCCACTCCGTGCCCTCCGATTGTGAGAGCAGAAGTTCCCAGCCAAAATGTTAGTCAGCAAATTGTAATTATACAGGCTGCTAATCAGAATCCTCTTCCCCTCCTCTCTGCTCAGCCTTCTGCTTCTGTAAGAGTTCCTGTAAACGGGCCGACTGCAGTTGCGAACTCTAGCAACTCCATGCAAAATGCTTCTCTTCCACAGACTTTTGGAGGGAAACACCTTGTCCATATATTACCAAGACCATCTTCTTTGCCATCTTCTAGCTCTACGCAAACATTTTCAGTTACAATGTCCAGTCAACAGCATCCTCAGACTATCTCATTAAATGGGCAGCTTTTTGCATTGCAGCCTGTGATGTCCTCATCTGGAGCTTCAAATCAAGCCCCTATGCAAATTATTCAACCCACCACCAGCGAAGACCCAAATACCAATGTTGCCCTCAATACATTTGGTGCTTTAGCCAACCTCAATCAAAGCATATCGCAGATGGCTGGGCAGAGCTGCTTACACTTGTCTCTCAGCCACCCCACCAATCCCGCAACCATCAATAACCAGATTGCCACAGTTAATTGTGTGTCATTACCAACTTCTGTGGCATCTTCAGTGCCTGCAGAGGTTTCAGTACTAACCAGTGCATCTAATTCAATAAATGCTTCCCCCAAAAAGCCATCTGCTGGCTTGCCATCCAGTGCAAAATCAAAAAGGACAAACAAAAAGCCGAGTACGAAGAAACAGCAAGCAGTCAATAATAAAGTGTCTTGCCCAGCAGTTCCTTGCAAAGATGCAGGGAAGGTGGACTGTGTTCCTGTGGAAACAGTGGCAAAGCATTCAAATGGTGAAGGGCTGCTTGAAAACACTCCAGCAGTATCTCAAGCTGTAACTACATCACAGGCAAGCGGTGTGGCAGCATCGAGTGGTGTCAGCATTTCTGACTCTCATTCCAAAGAGACTGCAAGCTCTGAACAGGCAGTGAAAATGCCCTCTGTTCCCGAGCTGAGCTCAGCAGAGACACCTGCTTCTTCACCACTGGAGTCCATGGTGCCAGAGCAGCTGCCACTTGTCCCCTCGGCTCCCAAAGATGCTGCTCCTCGCCAGCAGGCACCTGGACCTCAGAACCACCCACCAACTGTCTCTGCCTTGTCGGAGTCTCCCAAACCTTGTGAACCCCCCAGCACCTTAACATCCTCTTGTAGTGAAGCACAGGTGACACAGTCTCAGGTTGCTGGGACATCAGCAGCACAGAGCAGCACAGCAAGTTCCAAGGCAGGAATGATTTCGGAATCTTGCAACATTGAGCAGGATTCTTCAGTGGTAATGCAAGATGCAGACTTGTTAGAAGGACAGGGTCTGACCAAAATGCTGTCTGATCTCACAAAAGAAAGAACAGCTGTGGAAAAAACCTCTTCATTTACTGTTCAGGGCGAGCATTCTAATTTTCCTATGGAAAACTCCAAATCAGCAGAATCAAATGGTGATTTGCCCGAGAAGCAGGAACTCTTGCTAATGAACTCTGAAGGTGACACTCTCTCCCAGCATCACTCGTGCATCTCTGATCCAGAAGTAGTCAGTGCTTCCCTTATTGCTAGCAGGCAGGCAGACTCCCCGATGTCAACCAGCTCTGGCAGCAGTCGAGGCTTCTCAGTTGCATCTATGTTGCCAGACACCACCAGAGAAGATGTCACAAGCAGCACGTCAACCAGTACCTGTAACAGCTGCACATTTTCAGAACAGACTGACATTGTAGCTCTTGCAGCCAGAGCTATTTTTGACCAGGAAAACCTTGAGAAAGGTGGAGGAGGAATACAGGTTAACACGAGGGATGCTGTCTCTAAGTCAGCTGAGGTTGCACCGCTGGAGAGAGAGCAACAGCCTTTTAAACCTCAGTCAGTGAAAGAAAACAATGCAGGGCCGTTGGAAGCGGCACCAAACAAATTTGGTGCTCACGATACAGCACCAGCAAGTGTTGATAGGCAGGTTGAAAAGCCAAGCTGCTCCGTAGGAGGTGTGGAAACATCGAACCCTTCTTTGCAGATTTCCACCTCCCAGACACCAAGCATAACCAGTCTAAGCGTCAATAATCTAATACACCAGAGTCGCATTGTCCATCCCCTGGTGAGTTGCTCAAGTTTATCCCAGCCTTCAGAGCCTGCAAGTGTCCCTGCAACTGTGAGCCTCTCCCTTCCATCTAGCACATATATCAATCAGTCTCCGGGACCCGCTATGATGAGTGAATATGCTCAGGAACAACTGAATGCCATTAGGGCAAGCACCATGCAGGCTCCCCAGCTGCAGGAGTCACACTTGAAGCATCAGAGTCATGAAGGTCGCAAAGACTCAGCCAAGCGGGCCGTTCAAGATGACCTTCTGCTTTCTACAGCAAAGAGGCAAAAGCAGTGCCAGACAGCACCCATAAGGCTTGAGGGGATGGCATTGATGAACCGGACACCAGAAAGTATTGCTGATCAAACACAGATGCTGGTCAGTCAGATTCCTCCTAATTCTTCCAATTCGGTGGTGTCAGTAAGCAATCAAGGACACGCTGATGGTCTCAATAGGTTATTTCCATCCAATAGCAATTTTGTAACACCAGCTTTGAGGCAAACTGAGGTTCAGTGTGGTTCTCAGCCATCAATTTCAGAGCAGCCAGGCCAGTCAGGGCAGCACTTGCAGCCAATTCAACACGTTCCTTCTCAAGGCATCTCTCACCTTCACAGTAATCACCCATACTTAAAGCAACAGCAGGCTGGTCAGTTAAGAGAGAGGCACCACTTGTATCAGCTGCAGCACCACGTCACTCACGGGGAAAACTCAGTCCACTCTCAACCCCACAGTGTCCACCAACAGCGAACAATACAGCAGGAGGTGCAAATGCAAAAGAAAAGGAATCTCATCCAGGGAACACAAGCCACACAGCTTTCCCTACAGCAGAAACACCATGGAAGTGATCAAACACGGCAAAAGGGTGGTCAGCCTCATCCTCACCACCAACAAATGCAGCAGCAGATGCAGCAGCACTTCGGAGCTTCCCAGCCTGAAAAGAACTGTGAAAATCCTGCAACAAGCAGAAACCACCATAACCACCCCCAGAGCCATATAAATCAGGATATTATGCATCAGCAGCAACAAGATGTTAGCAGCAGGCAGCAAGGTTCCGCTTCTGAACATGTTTCAGGGCACAATCAGATGCAAAGACTTATGACCTCAAGGGGCTTAGAGCAGCAAATGGTGTCCCAGGCAAGCATCGTAACCAGACCATCAGATATGGCATGCACCCCTCACAGGCAGGAAAGAAACAGAGTTTCCAGCTACTCTGCTGAGGCCCTCATTGGGAAAACGCCCTCTAATTCAGAGCAGAGAATAGGAATATCTCTTCAAGGCCCTAGGGTTTCTGACCAGCTTGAAATGAGAAGTTATCTTGATGTTTCTAGAAATAAGGGGTTGGCAATTCATAATATGCAGGGCCGCTTATCTGTTGACCACACAGTTGGCTCAGATGTGCAGCGTCTTTCTGATTGCCAAACATTTAAGCCCTCTGGACCCAATCAACAACCAACGGGCAATTTCGATGTTCAGGCTTCAAGAAACAGTGAAATTGGCAATTCTGTGTCATCCCTCAGGGGCATGCAGTCGCAAGCGTTCCGAATCGGTCAAAATACTGGGCCTTCCATAGAGAGACAGAAGAGACTGCCCTACCAGCCAGTACAGGGTATTCCAACGGGGAATACACTGCCATCAAGGGAAAACGAAAACACGTGCCACCAAAGTTTCATGCAGAGTTTGCTCGCCCCTCACCTTGGAGATCAAGTCAGTGGAAGCCAAAGATCAATCCCAGAACATCAAAGGAACACACAGTGTGGCGCCTCCTCCACAATAGAGTACAACTGTCCCCCAGCGCGAGAGAGCGTCCACATCCGAAGAGACGGTGATGGCCAGAGTAGGGAAAGCTGTGACATGTCTATCGGGGCAATTAACACAAGGAACAGTTCTTTGACTATTCCTTTTTCGAGTTCTTCTTCCTCGGGAGATATTCAGGGTCGCAATACAAGCCCAAACATCTCTGTGCAGAAGTCCAATCCCATGAGGATGACAGACAGTCATGGAACTAAGAGCCACATGAATACGCCCGTTTCTAGCAACATGCATGGAGTCGTGAGGCCAACTCACCCTCACCCTGCAGTTTCTCACGGAAATGGTGAGCAAGGGCAGCCTTCTGTTCGTCAGCCAAATTCTTCAGTTACTCAGCGGTCAAGACATCCTCTGCAAGACAATGGAGGTTCTAAAATACGTCAACCTGAAAGGAATCGATCTGGAAATCAAAGACATGGAAATGTTTTTGACCCTAGTCTTCCCCATCTTCCCCTGTCCACCAGTGGCAGTATGATCCTTGGGCGCCAGCAGTCCGCAATAGAAAAAAGAGGAAGCATTGTCCGATTTATGTCTGATGGCCCTCAAGTGTCTAACGATAACACAGCCCCTGACCAACATACTCTCTCTCAGAATTTTGGATTCCCTTTTATTCCAGAGGGTGGCATGAATCCACCAATAAATGCCAACGCCTCTTTCATCCCACCAGTCACTCAACCTAGTGCCACTCGAACACCAGCTCTAATCCCAGTTGATCCTCAGAATACACTGCCGTCCTTCTATCCACCTTACTCTCCTGCCCACCCTACCCTCTCCAATGACATTTCTATCCCTTACTTTCCCAATCAAATGTTTCCTAACCCAAGCACAGAGAAGCCAAGTAGTGGAAGTTTAAACAATCGATTTGGATCCATTTTGTCTCCTCCCAGGCCTGTTGGTTTTGCTCAGCCAAGTTTTCCTTTGCTTCCAGATATGCCGCCAATGCACATGACCAACACGTCGCACTTATCCAATTTTAACTTAACGTCTTTGTTTCCAGAAATAGCCACAGCTCTTCCTCCAGATGGTTCAGCAATGTCGCCTTTGCTTTCCATTGCAAACACATCTGCTTCAGATTCTTCCAAGCAGTCCTCAAACCGACCTGCACACAACATAAGCCATATTTTAGGTCATGACTGCAGCTCAGCTGTATGAAAACCAATAGACTGACTTCTAGTCTGATGCGTTGTTTATATATTTAAGAAGAAGAGAGTGGAGACCATTCATAGCATCACTGTTTATTTGCCTAAATGTATGTATATGGGTACTTTCTGTATTTATATACATGTTGTATTTCCACCCACCTTACTAACTCTAAAGCACCAGTGCCTAAAGCAATGCTTACTTACTAGTAAACAGTAAGGATGCAACATCAAGAGCTGTGCAAATATTGGTTGTTGATTTTCCAACAATCAAGTTTGATGTCCGATTGTTCCAAGGTAAGGGCCGCCCTCAGTAATACATGGATGTAAAGAAAGGAGTGAGAGCATCCGTACGGGAGAGAGGAAACAAGTGCTACAGGTGTCAGTTTGTTTCTGATACGTTTACCTGAAACTGCAGAGGAACTTGAAATGGCTTGGGTTTCTCTGTTGTAAAATATCTTCAGGAGCCTCAACACAAGTCAAGTCTGTGTTAACCCAGTGTTAATTGAAAAAGGCATTTGTTGTGCAGCTTTTGTCTGTTTTAAGCTTGCCGTATGCACTTGATTTAAAGCTGACTTTACCTGGTTAAAATTACTGTGTGTTCACATGGTCAGCAGTTAAAAATACTGTTTTAGAAAATTCAGATCTCTTTAACCTATAACTTCTTAGAAATGAAATTTCTAAGAAGAATTTGCTTGGATCTGTTTTAGCAGTGGCTTCAGTTACTGCTGAACTCAGTCAATGTTTTAACATAGCTTACGACTCTTTCTAGTGCAGTCAGCAGAGACAGCAACTGTGTTTGTTGCTATTTCATTGTTCATTGCCGCAGGTTACCTCAGGGTGTGTTCTGTACCTTGGTTAGCACCTTCTTAATGTCCTTTTCTTTTTTTCCCCCCTCTCCTTTTCTTTGGCCCATGCTCAAACACCAGCTTTCTGGTTTCTGTGAGTGACAGCCCAACAGCCCCTTGTTGTACCAGGCAGCACATGGGAGGAGGACTGAGCTTATGGCATCCCACAAAATGAGTGGGGATCCTTGGGGGCAGTGTTCACTTGATATTGCTGACCGGATCAAGCCCAAGTTATTATCAGTACTCTGCACTTGAATGCACCTTTTATCTAAACCTGTGTGATTGTGGCTGAAGGAGGAACATGGATGTGTTGAGAGTGAAACATACCAGGAAGACATTGGGATTTGTGCACCACAAGGAAGGACAATGTGTTTGTTCATGTGTGAGATATGGAGTGAATGTGTGTGCACTGGCTGAGTCTCCAGTATTTTCACAAATTTCAGTCCCATTTCTTTTAAAGGAAAGGGAAGAGCTAGGTAAATTTTATTTATTTAATGGCTCTGCACTGTGCTTTTTCTTCAAACAAGGCAGAAATATTTGTCTTTTATTTTTATGTGCTTGGAAATACCATTCTGTGTTTGATTCTTCAAATAACATAGTAACTTCAGGTTCCCTTGTATGCAATCCTCCCCCTACCAGCTGTAGAGTGACAAAACCTGCTCCAGGGCCTCTCCTCTGGGCAGGGTAAGCTTGAAATGCTTGTGTGTTGCCCACCAGCACATTGTCTTGCTGCTCCTGGGACCTGTCACAGGCCCCTGGTGAGGGCATGGGGAGGTGCAGGCTCCCTGGGATTTTGTTTTATTATGGTTTGGGGTTTTTTTCTTTGAAAGGTGGAAAGGAAGATATTCCTCCATCTCTTAAGAACAGGACACTCAAAGACAGACCCGAAACATTTTTCCATAGATTGACTTCCCAGATGTTGTTTTTGCTAAGCCCTTTTCCACTGGTCCAGAAAAGTAAGGAGGCTTTGACATGAAAAATAATTGGGCTTTGTCTGTAGTCTGTCCTAACAGTGTCTCTGCTCTTGTAACCTGTGGTCTGATGTTTTCCTGCAAGGTGAAGTAAAATGGTTCTGATTCTGATTGGGAATCACTTTTTAATTCAGATGGAGCTTATCTTAGGACACTAAATCTAAGTGGTGCATCAGTTCTCTGTGTTTCTTAAAAATAATAGATTGCATATTTATTTCAGTTCACGGCTTATCTCTGCCTAAGTGTAGTTACCAATGGAGTGGCAGCCACTGGGCTGTGCAGAGAGCAGGAAGGTTAGGAATGAGTCGGTCCTCAGGCTCAAGCTGACTAAGCCAACTGCAGGTCTGGGTGTTCTGTGGTGAGACCCTTGATCAAATTGATTTCCTTAATGCAGTAGCTCTCAAAGGGGCTGCCTCAACTGGTGAAATGAGTTCCATAACAGTGAGTGGTTCCATGGTTTCTGGATGATAAATACACGGGGATCAAAGCAGCAGCCACACTGTGCGTTACATGTTTGTCTGGACTCTGAGGGGGGAGGCAAACCCGCCATTCTTGCTCTCTTCAAATGGCATTGTGTGTGCAGTGGTGGGTTTGGCTTTCAAGACAAACTAGTGAAAAATTAAGCCCTGGCTTCTTTACATATAAAGATGCTAATCCTTCTCATTCCAAACATTCACACAGTACCACATTAGTTTTCTCTGCTGAGAAAACTACATTACTTCATATCTGTGAAAACTGGAAGGACCTTATCAACTTATACCTGTTGCAACACTTCAATGTCCACAGATCCATTTGGCTGGATAGGATTCATTCCAGAGTACTGAAGAAGCAATCAGGACATATGGCAGGACCCCACTTGATCATCTACCAAAGGTCTGGGGAGGTCCCTACTGACAGGAAGGTAGCCAACCTTATTCTAATGTGTAGAAAGGGTATGAGGGAAGAACCCAGGGAAGTACAGACTGTGAGTCTAACTGTAGTTCCTGGGAAAATTATGGAGATTATACCGGGTACTGTTGAAACGAGTTTAAAGAATATTGCAGTCATCAGGCACAGTCAGCATGGGTTCACAAAGGGAAAGTCCTATCCAGCCAATTTGATATCCTTTTATGATAAGGTCACCCGCTTAGTGGGTGAACAGAAAGTGGGGCATGGAATGTTTCTGGATTTTAGCAAGGCTTTTGGTACCATCCCTCACAGCATCCATCTGGACAAGCTGTCCAGCTGTGGGATGAGCAGGTTCATGGTGTGCTGGGTGAAGAACGGGCTGAAGGGCAGAGCTCAAAGGGCTGTAGTGAATGGCGCTAGATCTGGCTGATGAACAGCCACCAGCAGTGTTCCTAAGGGCTCAGTTCCAGGGGTAGTCCTGTCCAATGTATTTATCACTGATCTGGATGTAGGAGTTGAACACACCATTGGCAGGTTTGCTGATGATACCAAACTGAGAGGAGCTGTTGACAGATGCTTTGCAGAGGGATCTGAATAGATTGGAGCCTTGGACTGTGACTAATGGGATGACATTTAATAAGTTCAAGTGCCAGATTCTGCACATGGGACAAAGTAACACCAGGCACAAGTATAAATAGGGAGAGGAGTGGCTGGAGAGCGCCCTGCAGAGTGGGCCCTGGGGGTGCTGGTGGGCAGCAGCTCAGTGTGAGTCAGCAGTGTGTGTCCGGGCAGCCCCAAGGGAAAACCTGGCAAATCCTGGGGAGCATCAAACACGGCGTCATCAGCCAGTGAGAGGGAGGGGAACATCCCACTGTGCTCAGTGTTGGTGTGGCCTCACATGGAGTGCTGGGTGCAGTTCTGAGCTTCACCATTTCAGAGGGGTGTGAAGCTCCTGGAATGAATCCAAAGGAGCACAAAGCTGGTGGAAGGGCTGGCAGGTGTGTCCTGTGAGGAGCAGCTGAAGGCTCTGGGCTCGTCTGCTCTGGAGAGACAGAGACTGAGGCTCATCCTTATCACTCTGTGCAGCTCCCTGAGGAGAACAGAGGGAGGTGCTGATCCCTTCTCCCTGGGATCTATTGACAGGACACATGGGAATGACTCAAAGGGGCAACAAGGGAGGTTCAGACTGGACATCAGGAAGGGTGGTCAGACAGTGAAACAGGCTTCCTGGAGAGGTGGTCGATGTCCCAAGCCATCGCTGTTTAAGAGGCATTTGGACAATGCCCTTAACAACATGCTTTGACTTCTGGTCAGCCCTGAAGGGATCAGGCAGTTGGACTATTCTATTCTCTTATTCCTTTATGTTGATTTCACTATTAATTTACTGGTGGTGTGTCAAGGTTAAATGCAATCCTGAGTATTCATGATAGAATATGTCAGCTGTGGTTTTGTTTTGGTTTTTTCATGCTGTACATCATTTCTGAAGCAGTAACTGTGTCAGTAACTTTCACCCTTTTCTGTTTACAAAGACGACCAAAAATAGCACCCTTGTTCACCTGTAGTGCAGGTAGTCGCAGCATGGGCATTCCAACCATATGAAGACTATTTCCATTTTGCAGGAACTGCACATTTTTGTGGTATGTGGCTCAAAAGTAACTACTGTGTGACCCTTGGTCTTCTCCAGAGGATTGTACCTTGCAGTGTTGACAGGGCATGGCGATTCCTGTGTAGTCACCACACCACTTTGTCGTCCTTCTCAGGGCTTTTTCTGAACCCTGCCGAGACCAGGATGGAGAAATATTTCATTCCCCTCCTTGAACATGGCAATTTCTGTTGAAGTTCTGTGTGAGTCTTTTTACATGCCATAAGTGATGCTAAATGATCCTGTGGCCCTGGTGTGGGATCAGGAAGGCTGCTGTGAAGAGAAAGGTAGGCAGACCACTCGCTGAGAGCTTTGTATGAACACATTCGTCCAAATTCTGGTATTTGCACTGCAGACTGGCTTTTAGATAACTTTATTAAAGAAAGATTGGCTCTGTTGTGCAGTCTTTTGGTCTAATTGCCTGTCCAAGATGGGCTTTGAATGCTGAATCTGACCTGGTCCGCTGGTTTGAGATCAGCCTGTGCATTTCAGCTTCTCTTGTTCATTCTCTTCTGCCTTCAGGAAGAACAGTGGAGGGACTGGATATTTCACATCAAAAGAGAGGGAATTAGATGTTAAGTAATTTCTGTTAGATTTTAATTATTAAATTGCTTTGGGTTTTTTCCTTATCACCATAAATTAATCCCACCTGCCATTCCATATCGACCAGCCTTCTTGCACTTAGTTGTGAAGGTCAGTTTGTGCCACTGACGGGTCAGTGGCTCAGTTCCTTTAGCAGGGCTCTGTTCTGGGGAAGAGGAGCAATTGCAACATCTTTACCATGGAGTGGAAACAATTGCTTCTTTATTTTTCCTTTCTCCTACCCTTGAACCTGTTGTGTTTAGCTATCAGGTTGATAAGGCTCGTTTTACCTCAATCTGTGCCTGGGAGAGTAGTTTGAAAAAGGAGCTTCTGTAAGTTTTGCAGATTGAATGATTTTGTTTTACTTGTTATAACAATTTGATAAGCAAATACATGTTCTTCAGCAAACATCTATGACAACAGTTATTTACCTTTTTCTCCTAAGAATTACCTGTTCCCTTGGTTTTCAAGATATATTTGTAAAAGACTATACTTGGAAAAGTTGCAATTTGTTAGCCTGAGAATGCCATTTTCTCTTCCATAATATGTTTTTGAAGGTTACTTATATTAAGACGGGGTTTGTTTTGGCTTTGAAGGAAGGAAAAATACTCAGTATTGCTTAATTTAGCAAAATAAGCAGTGGAAGGGAAAGGTTGGGCACTACCTCTGGGGTGAGATTGCCAAGCTGACAAGCATTGTGTGGCTGTGGCTTTCAGCTTGGCCTAAATGACTTCAACAAATAGTACTGGGCTGGATTGCATGTATGTCAGTGTAGTCCATGATCAATCCCTTAAGCAGCCTAGGAATAAGAACAGAGACCGGCTAAGTTGAAAGCAGGCAATAAAATAGTATTAATACTGCATTAATATTTATACACCTTTTCATTGAGAGAAAAGACCTCATTTAAGAACAGCTAAGGGAAATGAGAACTGAAGTGATTTGAGCTGGTGGCTGAGCCTTACTGGAATGGGTTTTCCAGCTCCTGCTCCCAGCTCCAGTCACTATGCTGCTGCCCAGGTGGAAGAGCACCTCTCTGAAAAAAAATAAATACTGTGCTAGTCCAGAGCCTCCTGAATTTTGCACAGATTTCCTACTGCACTTTAAAACTGCGCTGGTGCTGCTGTGGTTGGTAACTGTAGTGCTGTTGCAGGAAACAGACTGTGTGGCAGGGCAACGGTAGAGGGCATTGCTGGAGAAAATGGGCCATTTCATTACTTCTGGTCTCCTGTTGTCTTTTTACGTTATTCTGAGGTACTTGTGCAGCCCTGGTTCCAGGACTCCGTCACAAACTCATGCTGTTTCTGGATGACTGAGCGTAGTCAGCTTTTGCCATTCCCCTAATAAGTTTCATGCTCATCACTTTAATAATGATCCCACTTTACCTGGCAAGACAGAATAGCATTGAGTCTATTTATAACAAATCAGTCAAATTTGGGTTGTTTTCTGATACAGTGCTATAAGGAGCTCCACTCTTTATCATCACCTGGCCTGTTATTGTCCACCACTGGTCCTTTCTCCCGCTGCCATGATCCAGCATGGGTAGCAGTCTCATGGACAAGAGTGCCAGTGCAGAGACAGGTTTGCATGTGAGGGTGTTTTCAACTTCTACTGCCTCTGCAATACCAAGTAAATCTAAAACCTCAGAGCACCAACACTTTATTGCCACTAGTTACACTGAGAGCAAGTTACTCTATGAACTGGTAAAAGATGCAGTGGAGTTTTTTGGTCATGACAATACAAATTCATATTCTCTCTGCAAACAAACTCTGCTTAGTTACACAAAAGCCATTTATTACATACTGATACCAGTTTTTATGAGATAAATTTAAAAAAAAAAAAGGCATTTCTTTCTGCCACACCAAAATTATCTTTACAAGCAGGTTTCCAAGTTTGCAATATGTGCTGCTGTTCCAGCAATCACAAGTGTGAAACAGTGGAGCTCATGGTGGGTTGGGCCCTGTTCCTGCCTGCTCACTGTGAGAAGGGAAGCAAATACGGATTTTGCCACAGGAGATTAATCAAAGATGCTGTTGCCCTCCACCGTGTAAATTATTTATATTCAGTCCAGAGTTTTCTGCTGTGCTTCTGTTTTATACAGCTGTAAATGACTTGGATACAGTCCCAGTGGAAAGTCCTTACTATTTTGTAATGGAAAAAAGGAACTCTGCAGTAGAAATCTATAATGAATGAACAGGAACATCATCTTCCAATTGTAAATAAGATCTTACTCTGTTTATTTTGACATCTTTTTACAAACAAATGTGTTACATTCAGGTGTAAATATCCCAAACCATGATCTTGTTCAGAGTTCTGAGATTTCTATTGTTAAATGTAATACTTTGTTTAATAGTTGTAATAATTATTTGTATAGATATGAACATAATAGTATTTTATTAAAAAAAAGAGAAAAACACTCTTTGGATACTGTGTTCTTGTTGATACAGCTTCTTTCCACATGGAAAGTCATGCCATTCACTCTTCAAGAGAGGCAAAAATAAAAGTTTTGGGAATTTACAGTTACAGTTTTCCAGTGATGTATATTCTCTGCATAGACCAGAGTTATGCACTGCATTATTTGGAGTTATAAAACTACACAATTCAGAAGAAACATACTGATAATGAAGTATCAAAATAGTGCATGGCAGGTGCTGTCCTTGCCCAGGTGACAGTGCTTACTGAGTTGAGATACAGCTTTGGCTTTATATAATGCTTCTCATCACAGCCTGCTGCATTGGTTTTGAAGTGCTCTAAGACAGTACTTTTGTCACAGTTTGAAGCTAAAGGATGTGGTTTGTATGAGAGCAGTACAGAGATGTTGCAAGGTAAAGTAAAGGTGTTTTTGGGAGGCTGCAACAGAAGTTGACAGAAATACTATGAAACAATTGTCTTCAGGGGCTCCAGAAAAACTTGCTTGTAAAGATCAAAATTCTCACAGACACGGAAAATGCCTGTACGAAAGGCCTTAGTGGTTTTTTTTAATTAAAGTTTAATATTAAAACAGAGGACCTTCTGTTTTGCTACTTCAGTGACAGCCAGTATGTGTAGTTCATTCAGAGCAGAGGGGAGGGGAAACAGGATACAAGGCAGGTGAATACCTCCAAGGACGGGCTGGTGGGTGCCCTCACTGCTGGCTAGCTGCCACAGGTGCAGGTGCTTCTGCTTGTGGGAGATGCAGCAGGGCTCCACGAGGCCCCAGCAATGCCCCTGGGGCAAGGAGGTCCTGCTTGGCCACCCTCTGGCATTCCTTGGCCCTGAGAGCTGCCAGGGCGTCCTTGGGCCTGATGGGCTCATACAAACGCTTGGTGTGGCCACCTGCACATAAGGAAAACCACAGATAAAAGCACAAGTGAAACTGGCTCAATGTTTCTTCTCTCATCTTAAGCCAGAGGTGGAGCACAGCCAGGGGCTGCGTACCTCAGTCTCAAACAGACCCTGCAAGTGTCCTGGATAAACTCAGTATCCCCCTCTTGCTGTCATTGATAACTGCCCCTCCACTCTCCCCGCCCCAGCATCTACACAGGTGCTGCTGATTTAATAGGCTCAAAATCTACTTGTGGACAAGTTCACCTTTCTCCTAAAACTGTGCCTTCCCCTTTCACAATGCAGAGTACTCCCCCTGCCTTGGCTGTCTTCAACCAGCCCAGAGGTTTGAGTGGTAATTGTAAGACTGTCAGCTCACCTGACCCCACTAGTTTTCCTAACCTCTGACTGGGTGTTAGTGTTATGGAGAAAGAAGCTGTTTCTTTCTCCCTTGTGTTGTACTGGGTAGAACAACAACTTTATCTACATTTCCCAAGAAAACAAGGAATATATGGAATATAAGGGGTTTTAATATAAGTTTTTTACAATGAGAGCAGTAAAAAACTGGAACAGGTGGCAGATGCCCTGTCCCTGGAAACATTCAAGGGCAGGGTAGATGTAACCTAGCTTTGAGCAACCTGGTCCAGTGGGGGGTGTCCCTGCCCAGGGCAGGAGTGTTGGAACTAAATGACTTTTAAAGGTCCTTTCCAACCCAAACCATTCCATGATTCAGTGATAACGTTCTATCCACCTCCTCTTTGTGGCTTAAGGCAACAGAGCTATGGGAAAGGGGAGACACCCTTCAGGTGCTAGGACCTGTGAAAAGAGAAGAGCAAGGCAGAGGCAAGAGACAGGTCACATTGCTACAGGGGAGGTAAAGCAGAAGCTGCTCAGCAGCAACTTTCTGGCCATGCACCACCCAAAATCATCTGACCCATCTGCAGCACTGCACTGGCTTTTACTTGGGAAAATGTTTAGAGGCCTGGGGAAGGTGTTGCAGAAGGTGTAACACAAATGATACAGAGCTGAGTGTTAGCAGCTCTTTTTCTTGCAAAAACAGCAAAGCTCATGATTTGGCAAATAAGCCTGAGTAGTGAATAACCAACTGCAATAACACCTGGCCAGGTGTTCCTGGGCTGGTACAGCTTCCATAATGTATAGAGAAGTACTCTGGCAGCCACTTCCAGCCAGACCAGCTCCTGCTTCCTTCAAGCTCCTCACAGCCCCTACCATAAGCTGAGGAGGGGATTCACCAGAAAAGTGAACCATTTGTTTCCCTTCAGGAGTTGTGACAGCAGTTTATGCTGAGCATGTGATGGGGGAAGCAGGGACCCCACTACTGGCCTGCAGGCAGCAGAAAGGCCCCCCTACCTCCTAACACAATTCCAAAATGCTGCTCTGCTTTTCTCCCTTTACACCTCTGCTCCTTAGTGAGTAGAGAAAGGTGAGAAAACAATGACCTGCAAATCATGGAATGAGGGTCCCCCACCTATCCAGCAAGCTGTTCTTCCTTTCCCAAGGGCAATGGCCTGGACAAGGACAGCAGGACTCAAGCTGCATTCCAGGTCCAAGGGCTACACAGCCAAGTGTGACCAGGACAGCTGGGAGGCACAGAGCTGCCCGGGTGCCCAGCCAGACCCGCCAGCAGCCGGAGGGATCCCTGGAGCAGTCGGGTGAGGCTGGGCTCTGCAGCCACTAGGTGGGAGAACTGAAGTACAAACAGAAACCAGCAGGCAGGGCAAAGCTAAGAGGAAGTTTTAAAAAGTGATGCATCATGCTGGAAGCACAGAAGCAGCAGGGAGACGATTCTAACCTTTCCTCCCATCTCTCAGGCTTGAGGTGCCTTTCCTTGTATTTAATTTCTTTCATGGTTTTCTTGCTAGTTCTGTGCTGTTCTCCAGCCTTCTCCAACCTCTCTCTCCCTCACTGTTACTGCCTTACCCTGCATGTACTGTGTTCCATCTCTGCTTAGCTCAGCGAGCCCATATGTTGTTCTACCTCCTACACTGAGCCTTCCAACTGCTGTTCAACGTTAGTTTTTTTCTCACATTCCAATTTGAAGATAACCAGCTTCCTGGCTAGAAACAAATATGAGCTTGGAGCAAGGTCTGAGACTACAGATTATGAAAGACACTGGGAAAAATAATATATTTTATGAAAATGTGTGTCCAACACTGCACAGATTTGGGGGCACACAAGCCCTTCTTCAGTCTGGCACAACACTGGGGGCTCCTATAGCGGCCCTTGCATTTGCAAGGCGGGCAGCACAGAGCACATGTTATAAAAACAGTGTCAGGTCAAACATTCCTGGATACAGAAGCCCCGGTGGTTCCATCTGCCCAGCATGTTTCTAACCATGCTGGCAGAGCACCACAGTCCCACACAGAGTCCCCCATGGGGGCAGCTCAGTCTTGCTGCACTCAGCAGTAAGGATTTGGGTTGTTTGTGTTTTGTTTGTTTCGTGGTTCTTTTGCACCCCAGACTTCTTGGCAGTCCTTCCTTATGGGAAGAAAAAGGAAGCTGCAGGCAAGCCCAAGTAGCTAATACTGGATTCAGACATTTAAGATGCACAAAGAACATATGGCAGGGCTGCAGGGTGGCTGAATGGAAAACGTGAACTATGCTCAGCTTGATACTTCTCTGCTGATGCTACTCAGACAAAAACAAGTGTCGTCCCCTTCCCTGCAGCCTCTGCTGATACTGTTAAGCAAGAGAAGCTCATGCTTTACAACAAGCCTGAGAAAGCTACCCGTTTCCAAGATGAAACATTCACAACTCCATCTGCATGGCAAACCTCTGAGTCACGCCCAAAGCACTGTCATACAACACAGCACACCAGGACCACCTCCACCTTCTTCATTTCTGGCACACCCTGCCTGAAACACCTCCAGAGTGGCAACAGCTCTGCTTGGGAAGGTAACAGGTAGCAGCCACTTGTGTCATTCCTCCTCCAGTCCTCTCCCACCCTGCCAAAGGGACTACACTGACAAGAGTGTCTGCTCTTCACTCTATTTAGTCTCACAAAGGCAATTGTAAGAGAACAAGCAGGTCATCTGCACCTATGCTCAGGAAACGTCTGTGACAGTCCCAAGGATGACAGCAGCTGTGTGACACCACTGGGCACCCCTCTGCCCCAGCTGCTCTCCTTGCTCCTGCTGAGAGCTGGAGTAAGAAGAATTCACATCAACCTGCAGAGCAGGGAACCAGGAACATTCATTTTATTGACAGTCTTGACAATCTCCAACTAGAAAAAAATAAAAATCAGCTGGTGCAAAACTTTTCAAGGAGATACAGACCCTCAGAGTAAAATATTACCATAGTTGTTTGCTTTAGTAAGCAGAAGTGGAATGAAACCTTCCCATCACTGGGTACATGCACATACACTGAAGCAAAAATGCTCAGACAATGGCAAGAATAAGGACAGCAGGCCTGAAAGAACACTTTTTAATTCAAAATTAGCAAAACAGGTCCCATATTTAGATGCAAGGTCTGAAATAATTCACACCTCATTCTTGTTTTTTAAACAACCAAGAAATTAGAAACAACGCAGAAGCCATTTAAAAACTTATTTCAGATGCAGCAAAGTTTGACAAGAAAGTTTGGCCCAGATCTTTAGCTAAAGAGCTCAACCCCAACTGTCCCCAAAACTCTTCCACACTCCCAGTCCATAAGGGAACCTGCTTTGCCAAGTTTGTCCAAAACAGACTCACTGAAGGAGAAAGTCTGAGGTTGCTGGACGACATGCCTCTTCCACCTTGCCCCTTTGGCAAGGCAGGCAGTAGGAGCCAAGGGGCTGCCAAAGAGCTGCCCGGCATGCAAGGTTGTGGCTTTGCTGTGCCATCTCTTTCAGGTTTGCTTGAGGACAGCACTTCTAGTGCCCTGAGAGACCATCACGCTGACAAGAGCCAGCACCAGAGCTGCCAGAGGAAGAGTGGCTGTTCAACAGGAGTGAGTGAGAGCCTTCAGGAGCAAGGTAGGAGGCTCTGGCAGAGCACGCATCGGCAGCTCTAAGTCCACCATCTCCCTCCAACACCACAGTCTTGTTACCATGGCTCCCCACCAGCTACCAGAGGAGTCTCTCCAACAAAATGAAGAAAAGAAGAAAACTGTCCC